AATTGTCAATAATGAACCGATAACAAAAGTTAACCATTTTAAATATCTAGGATGTTGGCTAAACGAGAGCAAATTCAGATGAAGAAATTAAAATTCTTATAGAAATTGCAAATCTTCTTGATTTTGCTTTAATTTTCCTCAGAATACTTCACGCACAACAGAATTAGACGCAAATGCGAAGATCTTGAAGATACCCAATTTGGTTTTAGAAATGCTATGGGAACCAGGGAGGCACTTTTTGCGCTTAACATCCTATTACAAAAATGCCGTGACCAAAGAAAAGATGTATTTGCATGTTTTGTGGACTTCGAAAAGGCATTCGATAAAGTACAGCATGTAAAATTAATGCAAATACTGAAAAATATCGCAATAGATGACAAGGATATTTGTGTCATTAAAAATTGTAATGGAAGTAAACTGCTATCGTAAAAATTGGAGATAACTACACCGATGAAATCCCCATACAAAGAGGAGTCAGACAAGGTTGCATTTTTTCGCCAACATTGTTCAATTTTTACTAAAGCCAGTTATTTAAAAAGGCACTTGAGAGACAACCATATGGAATAAAAATCAATGGGGAACTACTTAATGTGATTAGATATGCAGACGATACAGTAATTCTATCAGATAATATTGAAGGTCTTCAAATTCTGCTTGATCGTATTCACGAGGTAGGAGAGGAAATGGGCATTAAAATAAACTCAAACAAAACCAAATTTTTAGTGTTTAGTCGTGACCCACATCCCGATGCAAAGCTTCAATTGAACGGAGTCCAAGTTGAGAGAAGTTCACAAAATGACATATTTGGGAACTGTGATAACGGACCAACTAGATCCAGACATAGAAATAAAACGTAGAATAGCAATGACTAAAACTACTTTTATGAAAATGAAGTCATTTCTTTGCAATAACCATCTCAGTTTAGAACTAAGGCAAAGAATGGTTAAGTGCTATGTTTGGTCTGTACTTTTGTATAGTGCAGAAGTGTGGACGCTAAAAGTATCGATCATGAACAAAATTGAAGCATTGGAAATGTGGGTTCATAGACGAATGCTAAAGATACCTTGGACAGCAAGAAAAACTAATGAAGAAGTACTAAGGAGTGTCAACAAAGACAGAGAACTGCTAAAGACTGTTAAATATCGAAAAATGTCTTATCTGAGACTATATGTGTGTACACACATGTCTCTTCTTCATTGGATCAAATCTATCTCCTCCAGAACTTCCCGTTTACTGTCAAACAACTGCAATAATAGAATTGAGTTAAAAATTTTTTGTTAAAATCCTTTATAAAAGGTATATAAAAATGCCTCAAACGGGCTATCACAAACACATTGCAAAACGTTTTCGGATTAAACAATCCATCATCAGTGCAAACGGTTGTACATGCTAGTAGCCACCAAAATATATGGGTAAAAACCCTTTAAATGTTATAAATTTGAAGTTGTTTTACATTATTAGTATTTCTAATTTGTGATGGTTAAGTTACCGTTGGATAGGTAACATGGCGGCGTATGACTCTACATGAGTAAAAACAGTTCTCCATTCAACAATACATAGTAGTTTCAACCACGTTCTACCATCCATCAATTAATAGAGTACCGGCATCATTTGTTTAACTTTGTATCGAGACCTGAGGATGCTTTGCATATTGTAGAAAGCGAAACCGGTCGTCTGATAGTTAAATTAAATTAATTGTGAGTAAGTCTTATTTATTATTTCTTTACCTATTTGAAATGGACTCACACAAGCAACACATTCATGATTTCTATAATTCATGCTTGACTTCTGACTGGAGTTTTTCTTCTGGGGACATTGACTGTAATTTTAGCGATTTTCTAAATAGACTTGTATCTATTTTTAATAAAGCATTTCCTCTATTAAACATCAGGCCAAAACATAACAAACCTTGGATTACCAAAGACATTCGCATATCTGCGAAAAATATGTGTTCTCTGCTATATATTAAAAAATTTAATGACAGTATCCCCATCTCTGATTATATCAACAAGTACAGAAAATGCTATATAAAACTACTCAAAGTAGCCAAAAAAATCCTACTTTCATAATCGCTTAACAAGCTCCAAAAATATTTTAAAAGAAACTTGGTCAATAACAAACGATTTTCGAAATAAAACCAGTACAGCGAATCAAACCTTTTCTTTTCCTAACCCCGAAAATCTAAATGATTACTTTGTTAATGTGAGTAAAAATATAACCTCAACTATTTCGCCACAACAAGATCCACTTTCCTATCTCTCTAATTCAAAAAACATTGCTGATACCTTCTTTTTAAGACCAGTTGATAAGACGGAACTCATTTCAACAATTCGTAGTAAAAAAAAGCACATCGTCCTGTAGTACAGATGGATTATCTATTAAAATTTTCTCAAATCTACCGCATATTGTTTTGGAGGTCATGGTCTCGCTAGTAAATGATTCCCTCAAAAAAGGTACATTCCCTAACTGCCTAAAGACTGCCATCGTCCATTCCTCTTCATAAAGACTTAGAAAAGTTCGACTTATGCCCTTTCTCCTTAAATATAATATTTTATCGCAAAATCAGTTCGGCTTTTTGTCTAATAAATGCACTAGTGATGCCATATTCTCTGTGTTACATGATGTATATCTATCACTAAACTGTAACCTCTCCTCCGCCACCGTTTTCTGCGACTATTCAAAGCCTTTGACTGCGTAAATCACGACATTCTATTAAAAAAATTAACTTTCTATGGAATTCGGGGTGTGTCTTTGAACTGGTTCAAAACTTACTTGGTAGGTAGGAAACAATTGGTTAGAATAAATGACACCGACTCTAGTTGTAAAGATATTGAGTGTGGAGTACCGCAAGGTTCAGTATTAGGTCCCATTCTTTTTTTACTTTTCATTAATGACATCACTTACTTGAAAATTAAAGGGAAAATTTTTCTATTTGCTGATGATACCAGTATTACTTGGAGCAGCTCTGATATTTCAACGCTTCATTCAATTATAACCGCTGATTTACTTATAATCAAGGCTTGGTCAGACTCCAACTTACTTAGCTTTACGTGGATAAGACTGTAGCATTATCTTATAAAGGAGTCATGCAACCCTTGCTTTTGAATGAGAGCCAAATCAATATCGTAAATTCCGTGAAATTTCTAGGTATTCTCATTGACAGTGATCTCAAATGGTCCTTGCATACTGACTCCTTAAGGAAGAAACTAGCCTCAGCTTGCTTTGCAATAAGATCTGTTTCGAAGGAACTAAATTTATCTTCTGCCAAAATGGCATATTTCTCATTGTTCGAGTCCCATCTTCGATATGGGCTTCCATTTTGGGGTTCTAGTACAGCGGCCCAATTTGATACTATTTTTAAGTTGCAAAAAAGAGCAATCCGTTATCTATTTGGTCTCAAACAAACAACTCATTGCAAGACCTACTTCAAAAATCACGGAATTTTGACGCTTCCCTCTTTATTTATTTTGGAAACGGTTTGTTTGATTCGAAAGCATCTAAACATTTTTCCCGATAGACCTGACCATGGCTACTCCATTAGAAATTCGGATTGTAACGTTTATTTGCCGATCCCGTCCACTCAGCTAGTAAAGAATTCTATTCTATATCGTGCAAAGAAACTTTATAATCACCTTCCAAGAGAAATTAAATCCGCAACATCCTTCATTAAGTTTCGTAAGGTGACAAAAATCTATCTCTCAGAAAGACCATATTATTCAGTTGACGAGTTTCTTAATGTATAACAAAGAAACAAAATTAGTATTGTTTATAATTACATTTGGGTGTCTCAAGCAGTGGCTACAATTTGTCTCATTTGTTGTTGTCTGTACAAATTATGTAGGTTATACAATAATTTTACTAATTTAAAATTGTGTTATTCTGTTTTTTACTATATTTGTTTTTGTTTTATACTTTTTGTACTATTTGACTGATTTATTTTTTAGCTTTGTCCATAAAATTGTTCAATAATTTTCAGTGACAATAAAGCATATTTCTATTCTGTTATGTGTATCCTGTATTACTGTATGGATGTGTAACCTGGATTATGAAGGTTGACATGATGAAATTAGAAGCCTTCGAGATGTGGTTATATCGTAGAATGCTCAGAATATCATGGGTTCAACACATTTCAAACAGAGAAGTCTTGAACAGAGTAGGTCAAGGTGAAGGTGACTTAATAAAGATGATAAAAAAGAGAAAACTCGAATATCTGGGGCATATAATGAGAGGAAGCAGATACAGGATAATGCAGTTGATACTCAACGGAAAGATCGACGGAAGAAGAGGAATTGGTAGAAGAAATACTCATGGCTCCGAAACCTTCGTCAATGGACTGGCTTATCAGCAGATGAATTATTACATGCCGCGCAAGATCGAGAACGATATCGGCAAATCGTCATGGAAGCTACACACAGCCTAAAACTTGAGCACGGTACTCAAAGAGATTGCATCAGCAATATCGTAGATTGTCTTCTTCTTCTTCTTCTTCTTAAGGTGCCGTGCATTTCTGCTTAGGCGTCCACCGTCTTGTCAGGTGAGATGTTAAATATTCTGGATTAAATAATTCTATTTTTAGCAGCATTGCGAAGCATTTCATAGCTGTGGATTCCTGTCCATTGTCGAATATTGCGCAGCCATGACATTTTTTTACGTCCGAGACCTCTCGTACCCTCTATTTGTCTATTCTGGAAGTTGTCTATTCTGGTATATATTCTGGTTTCGAAAACTAAGAAATTTTTGGATTTCGACTTTGTGTTTTTACTATTAGCTATCGCCATAAACGCTTGTATAAAGTTATATTATTATAAATTGTTTTAACGGAAAATATTTGATTTCAGGTTTAGGGCTTTTGTATAGTCGCTCTATATGTCGGCTTTTGTATAAGAGTCAAAGAGTATTGGCACTATACTGAAATCAAATCTTTACTGTCTTTTTTGAACAAATGTAAAATGTGAGCTACCACCAGAGAAGGTCTAATCAGCAGAGGGAAATGAACTTACCTTCATTTCTCTATAGAACAGCCACATCAAGAAGAAATATAAAGGTAGTGCAAAAGTACGCAAAAATGTTTGGCGCAGACCAGCTCTTTTAAAACTCACAGTCGCTGCTAAAAGTCGCCTACAACATAAATGTAAAAAAGACTAAAATTAATAAAATGGTATTATACTAACACGTAAATCGTCCACGCAGTTGAAAATCTTCCCGGTCTTCCATGCATGAAAGGAACCTTGTCGTGTTGTCCATGCTCGTGGTTTTGATTGGGCGAGATCATGCTAGGACTTTTCTGGAAAATAACTCCCTCGTTTTTAAACTTCTCCACTAACGCTGCTATTTGATAATTGCTTTCTACAAATCGTTCTCTGGATCTTCTGTCCACTGTAGAAAGACAAACTAGAAATAGAAAGAAAAAAATCTTATTGTGTTAATCGAAAAATCTATAGAAATAATTTTCTTCAATACAGTCTTATAATATCTGTTGCATTCTCAACCATACTTACGATAGTACATCAAAGGATTTTCCAGTTGTGGACAAGGAAAGCCAATAACGTTAAAATACTCGAGCATTTGCTTGGTACCTCCAGTGTACACGACATCTCCAAGACATAAGTATAGTACCCGATCCAGAAACGGAAAAACATCTGACCGAGGCTTCTCCATCGTTAAGATTATAGCAGTTCCGTACTTTTTAGCCGCATTTGAAAGGATTGAAATGATTAGGTACGTGTTTAATGGGTCCAGGTCCCAGGTGGGTTCGTCTAGTAATAGTACCACTAAAACGGGAATGAGCATTATTTAAGTCAATACGCGAATAGTGTTATCATTTATAGTAGAAATAACATTAAAAACCTTATCTTTAAACATTTTCATCTTGAACAGACTTAGGCCGGTTCTACATTCCAGGTATAAATTGGAGAATAGTTATTCTGAGTATAACTTATACTTGAGTTTATTCCAAGTATATCCTTTCGGGCGTTCTACATTGTGAAATCGACTGCGGAATAGTTATTCTGAGTATAACCACAGAACACTAAGGTAAAACGAAATAGTAGATCTGATATCTTCAAAATTAGTTCAAATTGTTATTGACAGCGACATTTGGCATTTGTCATAACTGTAAAATTTGTTTACAATTGAAAGGAATTGAATAATTGATTCGCTTTATCTGGTATTTTATTTACGTTTATATTATTATACTGTACAAAATTAATAGAAAATGGATAAAAAAAGATGTAAAATTTCCTTCTTAAATTTTTTATTATCATCAACTGAGATTAGTGTTATAATATAATAACCAAAATTATGTAAATATATCTATATAGGTAGGTACTCCACATTTTAAACAAGTATAAATATTGGATTACAAAATATATAATTTTAGTTAAAGAAATGTTTATATAATACAGATTCTAGAATTACAGTCTCTGTTATCAAAACATTAAAAAATATATTGCCTTGGTAAGATTATACCTATACTATTTTAGTCATATGTGTAGACGTTATTACATTACATACATATCCTAAAATTTTAGAATTGAAATAATAAATGCTTTCTTTTTCTTTTGGATTGCCTAATAAAATTTCCCATGGATTTACAATCTAAAATGTTTGTGCAATATCAAAAATTTTATTTTATATATAAAAACAAACAAAGTGAGGTTAAAATATTACAGATTTGACAACCTCTGACCGACCAATAGAAATGCAGTATAAGTTTATAACTGGGTATATCTGTTAAACTTTGGAGCAGTGTTGCCAATCGGCGCATAATTATGCGATTTGCGCATAATTTAGTTTACGGCGCATAATTTTCGCATCCTGCATAAAATCACATAATTTCGCACAATCCAGCAAATAAAAAAAACAATAACAAGCCACAGTTTATAATAAGAGTCCTCGTCTTCTTTTTTTTAACAAAACGTTTGTGCTGACATTTTACACAGCCACAGAATAATAAACAATTGTTATTTATTCTGTGACACAGCATTATCTTTAGCAAATAAAAATTACTGTCAATTACTGACATTACTGTATCGAAGAAAATTTCCATTCTATGGCGGCATTAGAAAACAAATTTACAATATATAAAAATTGATTTTCGGTCACCTGAGGACCTGTGACCTGAGTCACCTCCATTAAGGGTGGTTTAGGGTTAACCCGGGAGTGGACGGGTTAACTTAATGACCTTATGTTATTGTATTTTTGTTGTTTTATTTAAAAAAAATACAGAAATTAAGCTAAAACCTAGCATTTTCTGCTTTATTTAACTTTTATTGGCACTTAGTAAACAAATGTTTTCCAAAATTTCTACAGATGTTTTATTAAAATACAAATATTAACCTACACAATTTTGTTATAACAATAAATAGAAAAAATCTCTGCACAAAATATAAGTTTGAATTTTACCCCAAATTGTTCCCTGTGCAATAGGAGCAACATGCTACAATATGCTCCATACCCAACCATAGATTAGGGTACACAACCAGAATAGACAAAATGTGCAAAAATATCGCGTTTTCCGTCTTTTGCAATTGCTTTCTTTATTGGTGGTCATTTCTAATGGGCCTGTATAGAAGTATTTGATAGGCGCAGTGCTGATTGTTGTACAACTCAAGACTCATCAAGCTAAATGAGGGTTCAAAACTCTTCTCATATTTTTTTTGTTGTATTTATAAATCTTTCATAAATAATCTTCTGCAATTCTTAAATTCTGAATTGTTTCTTTTTTGTATAATTCGAAAGAAGTAACAAGCAACATTCATAAGGCCATAGAATACTACCATAGGCCAAAGTCTAGTGTTTCTAGCAGTATTATAGGAAGATATTTGGCTGTTAATTAATAACGTCTACTCCTACCTTTGTCAGATCGTAAAATGTAACAATTTCTATGTAATAATTTGTAAAAAAACCGAAGATAACTGCATTACAAGTATATGAATCTAAATTTCCTTTAGTAACACAAGTGGGTGGGTGATATCAGCCAGTACATATATTAAATATCTAAAAACAAAAAATTAATTTGTTTTAAAAAATATCACCATTATTTGGATTGTACAATTATTGAAAGGTACTGAAAAGGCCATTTGTATAATATAAAAAGCATTTTTACAATACAATCATTTTTCATTCTTTATAGTAAGGATCTAACTATAAAGTGCTCTGTTATTCCCCAAGCAAATATTTCTCACCAGAAAATCCCCTTATCTGGCAATACCCAATTAATACACATTGAAGGAAAGATTTTACATATATTTGAGTAGGTAAGTACTTCACATTTGTATTTACGGGGATTTCACATAGAATTACATATATAAGGCAAAAGTTGAAAAAAATTAAATTAATTCAAGCCTACTTCTTCAACTGTTACTTTGTGTGTTAATGTGTCGTGTTTGTACAAAGAAGAAAATAAAAAAAATATAGAAAATGGATAAGTGGCTTTCCAGTTTTAAGGTAAATATAAAAAATAGTTAAAAGAAGTTAAAATTATTTATTTATATATAATAGAGAAATCACATAAACATGAATCATAACTGAATTTGTACCTTCTAGGAGACATGTTTAATAGTTTGAAATAATTATTTTTTGTTCTCATTAAAAATCATTTCCTATACAATAATTAATGGTTATTGTTGGATTTTTTAAATATCATATAATATAGTTTAAAATATCTTTATACTTCTTCAAAAATCAGAATTAGTAACACATACCTACCTGCTGTGAATGAGAGGTAAAGTTCAGTAGATTTTGTATGGATCTTTCAAGCTTCTTAAAATTAAATTTTGTGTTTTAATGAAGAAATTCGTTTTTTAGAGTAAACATAAGGAAACAGATAAAAATAAGCAAAAGGATTCCCCAGCACCAATTGATATAGAAAAGCCAGGTTGCAGTTATCAAAACGAGGGCTCCCCTATTTATCCTGCTCCCACACATTCTCATATTATGAGTGACAATGGCGATACTAATAATATGGTAACATATATAAATAATTAATAATTTTAAAATTATAAAAAAACACAGACCTCAACAACTTAATTATTTATTAAAATTATATGGATAATACAATTAAACTAAACTAAAAAAACTACAAATATAAGATATAATTACAGAAATTCAGTATTACTACAGTAGTAAAATAAATTTGTATTTGAATAATATTTTATTGATTTAGATCATCTAAATTATAATTATATTTTAGAATGATCCTACAACATCAGCAAAAAAGAAAATAAAAATGGAAAAAGCCTCAAAGTATGAAAAAAAGAAGACTTTTAACAGCTCTTGGAAAAGTGTACCAGAATTCATGAATTGGTTAGAAAAATCTACAAAACAACCATCATCTGAGGGTAATGAGTACGCCTATTGCAAGGTATGTGATTGTGATATTGTAGCTCATAAAAGTGTATTATTGAAACATTCAACAAGTGACAGGCATAAATTAAATTGGACAAAAGTGACTAGCAATATTAAACTTACTGAACTGTATAAACCAAATGCTGATGATTTAGCTGTAAAAACGGCAGAGTTAAAGTTATGCGCCTTGTTGGCAAGCAATAACCTGCCATTTTTATTAGTAGACACCCTAACTCCTTTAATTCAAAATATATTTCCTGACTCGAAAATTGCTAAACAATTACATTTAAAACGAACCAAAGCGACGTCAATTATTTGCAATAACTTGGGGAATAATTTTCTTGAAGAACTATATATTAAATTAAGGGAGCCAGGATGTTTTTTTTCTTTAGTTATGGATGAAACTACTGATATTTCAATAAAAAAGCAATGTGCATTCACTACTATAATTTATGAAAATAATTCAACCAAAACACAATTTTTTGATCTTGTTGAAGCTCAGGGATCAACAGCTAATGATTTATATGGTATTCTAAAGAACTGTTTAACTTCAAAGAATATTCCACTAACAAATTTTGTAGGGTTTTCATCAGATACCACCAATGTTATGGTTGGAGAGTTTAATTCTGTATTTTCCAAGTTAAAGGAAGAATTTCCACATATAATATGTATTAGATGCTCATGTCATATGGCACATTTAGCTACATCAAAAGCCTGTTTAAAATTACCTAGGCATGTGGAAGATCTGCTCCGAAACATAGGCAGTCACTTTAATAGGAGTGCTTTGAGGAGACACAAATTTATAGAGTTTCAAAATTTTTTTCAAGTGAAAATTCACAAGATACTCTCTCCAGCCATAACAAGATGGTTATCTATTAAAGAATGTGTCGATAGAGTGCTTGAGCAATATGAGCCACTTAGAGCATATTTGACAGAATATGTATTTGAAGACCCATCAATTACAACAGAGACAATGTTGGAAACCATGTCAAATTTGTTCACACCAGTATATCTAGAGTTTATGTCATATTCTTTAGGACTAATGACAGACTTCAATTTACTCTTTCAGTCAGAAAAACCACTTCTTTGTAAGGTTAAGCCACAAACTGAAACTCTGTTGAGAACGCTTTGTTCCAATTTTATAAAGATGTCTGTAATAAAAAGAACCAATGACATATTTATCCTTAACCATGAAAACCCTACAAATTTTGTTAGTCTACATGATATTTATATAGGAATTGCTGCAACAGAAAGCTTGCAAGAATTAAAAAAAAATCCAAATATAAACAAACAAGAATTTGATAGTTTTTTTAAATGTATTTTAGAATTCTATATAGAATTAGTTAGTAATATTAAAAATCGATTCACCTTTAAAGACCCTATCTATAAAATAATTTCAATATTGGATCCCAAAATTGCACAA